GGTGAACTTTCCGAGCGCAAGTCACCAAATGAGTAGTCATCTTCCGGCATGTGTACAGGTACATTAAATGCGGGAAAAAATGTAGTTGGTCGAAAGAAGTGCTTTGCTTTCGATTGACCCCCACGCCTATTTTTCGGCCGACGTCCCGGTATGGGAAGGCCAGCATCGTGCAATTTTTTAAAATACTTTTGTACACGACTGGATACCTGCTGTGGTGTGCGATTACCCAGTGCTTTAGCAATTTTCGCGTATCGGCGACTTTCAATAGCCTCTGCGGGGTATTCGATTAGCAGCTCCTCAAGGCGGCGTTGTTCTTCACAGGACCATAGCTATAGATGCGTACATATAAATAATTTTAAAGTATGCAAAATTGAGAAGTTCGTGCATATAGATATATATGTGAAGAAATTTACTTGGTTAAAAGTTTCCGACTTGGACTCATCCACAATACGTCCGCGGACGGTTGCTGGCTTTGAATCCGATTCAGGTTCTTCTTTCACTTTGGCGTCATTTTCCGGCATAAAATCCAAGTTTGTAGATATTTCTGGTATCTTTTGATATAGGTTATTGTCCAATTAGTCAGGTGCGTGGTTTTTATCGGCTACTTACCTTTTCAATGGTCATGTAGTTTGGCGCAATGATTTCTTCATTATTTCGCAACTTTTCAATTAGCAATTCTGGATTCTGCATGTATCGTTGTTTTGCGATCTCTAAATCTTCTATCTAAAATATTTATATTTAATGATTAAAATCATTTGTACACATAAGTGCATTAAACAAAATTTAATAAAACCACTACGAACCTGTTTCAGTACGCGCGTTCTTTGCACTTCTAGTATTGCTATGGTGCGCAACATTTTTGTGTAATCTGGATGGCCACGCAAAGCAAGATGATCACTTTCGAAATAAAATGTAGTATCTTCTTCAGCACTACTCGATTCACTCATTTTAAAATATGTTTAAAATTAATTAAAGGTTCAAGTTGATTTTTCACAAGTAGATATGAAACGATACGAGTAAACACGAGTACGTACTCGATACTTTTCGATCGATACCAAGAACCGAGTAGATTCAGAAAAACAAATACTCGTATCGAAACTCGGTACTAAAAGCACAACTCCACAACAAGTTTCTCAGGCATTCAGCGCTTTTCAGGCTTTCGGCAGTAGCTGATCAAATGTCCTGCTGAAAGCCTGAAAAGCAAATCTTGCTTTCGTAATTTTTCCTCCACTGTTATTCTGAATATGAAGCGCCCTTTTTGTGTGCTGCTTAATTGTCAGCGAAACCCGCGATATTGCTACAAAGTCGATATAGTGCAACGAATTCAAGCTTCACCAAAGGCGATGTAATGCGACGTATACACGACCCAACTGTTCGATGGAACAGTAAATTCAATAATACAAGGTTCGATAAACTGACAGTTGTCTCTCTCGCATCGCTCCCTTAGCAGTGGCACCGTGTTGCTTCTTTGCAAATTTACAAGGAAACAGTGTAGCTTTGGTGTGAAATAGAAGTATAAGCTTTTGTGCAATATGTGTATTTGTATATGCATATGAAGCATATTTAACTGATGAAAACATAAAATTAAATTAAATTGGATGTTTACATCAATCTCATAGTAGTCTTATTTTAATTTTGAGTCATTTTGCAGATTTTATACAGCTAAATAGCACATTAATTACGTAATTCACGTAAATATATTAATATTACGTTCAACATTTCGTATAAAATGCCAGGAGGGTTACTCTGTAATGCGATGCGAAAACACATGATTCGCATTCGCGCAAACACATCGTAAGTAAAGGCGGATTCACCGTTCCTGTCCGGACACTTTTTGTTAGTAATTTTACGCGTTCCTTTCCCAACTTGTCTCACTGAGAGCGCGACAAAAATGTGCTGAACACTCTTTGTTCGAATCAAATTGATTTTGATTTTCTGTCGGAACGACTTGATGATTCGGGTTGCCGCGTTCTCCTTAATATGCGTTTGCAGTGAATTGAATGTGTTATTTGCCCTCAAAATCGTATGTAGGCAACAATATCATCAGCTGTTTGCTTCAGAACAAAATAAAATGTGCCGAACTGAACGGTGAACCGTACTTCAGCACCCTCTCCGGCAAAAATGTTTTGAGAGCAAATAAAAAGTTGTCCGGACACGAACGGTGAACCCGCCTTAATACACAGGGGTGATTGCCTATCGCATCGCATTTCTCTGTCGTATCGCATTACAGAGAAGCCCCCCAGATTTCCTGCAAATACATTAGAATTTACAAAAGGAATTTCACTACTAATTGCCTACTTTGCGTACTTTTCTACTGCCATTTTCGCACCAAGAGATTTCCTTATTCCCCTTTCTCTGTCCTTCGTAAATGCAATCTTTTGTAAGGGAGTTTCCAACCGCAGCTGTCAATAATTATCTAACCTTGTATTATTGAATCATGGTTAGTTACGAAATGTTAGGGAAATAGGATAGATATTGGCCTTAAAGTGTGTTTGCATTGTTCAACTTTGCATTCAACATTTGCGTTCAACTCAGCGCGGGGTTGCACAAAAAAAAAGTTGATTGGCTAAAAATATCAAAATATGAAAAAATATCAAAATATTCGCCATAAAAAGGTGTGAGCACTGTTCAACTTTGCATTCAACTTTTGGTTGAACGGCCTTTCAACCAATCGCTTTCAACAAAGTTGGTAGCCAGCCAAAATTAAGCCATTCAACTTTTTTTTCGTGCAACCCTGAGTTGAGTTGAACGCAAGGTTGAACAGTGCAAACACTGCTTTATCGCCAATTCCATATGAATAAATCATTCCAATAACTTAACATGCAAAACAAACAAATTGGGGGAAAATTTTTGTTTTGCTTTAAAATTCTTGCGAACAATTTCCAAATCTGTCAGTTGTAATATTATATACTGAAAATAGTCATATTGACAAATTGGGTCTCTAGAAAAACTGAAATAATGCTTGAATTTATTGTGCTACTGCCAAGTTAAGA